AAAATAAAATTGAGAAAATTTAAAGGAGAGGAGAAGACATATAGAAAACTGAAAATGTTAATAAGATATGAAATGGTATGTAAAATGAATATGAATTTGAATTTTTGTGTCTGTACCAAGAGTTTTAACCCGGGACTAATCAACTTTCAGATAAGAGATTTTTTATGTTTTTATGTTTTGTTGTATGTGTATCTATGTATTGTTTGTCTTGAAAATAAAACTTGTTTTTTTAAAAAAAGAAGAAATGGCAGGCAATAATATTAAGGCCACTCTCTTAGGGTCCTGGAAAGCTCTTAAGGACTTCTACCATAGTTTGATTGCTCAGGTTTGTTTTATTCTCTCCAGTGCTATTATCGATTCTTATGTTCTGTTGTTCAGTTTTTAATCATATTTTGGATGTTGCAAGGCATCCAGAGTCTTTTGAAGTGGGGCTGCTGCAAAAGATCTAATTAGTAATATGCAATGCTTAATATTCTTTTATAAAACCAGATTGTGTTGGACTAATTTATTCTGAAGCCTTCCTGCCAAGTCTACTTTTCAGGTTTTGCATCTCTTTTCATGATATCTCTCCTGAATAAACTTATCTGAATCCCTCCATATTTCTCTATGGTGATAACATTTGGAGGTGAATAATTAAAATTGGCTTGTATCCAGTAAGACTGTGAATGTCTGTTAAACAAAATAATAAGCAATATAATTTGAAAGTATGTGCAATTATTTACATTTCATCCTGTTTTTAAACATCTTCTTGAAGCAGCTTAACAAAATAAGAAAATTGCCCTCTAGATTGTTTGCAATAAATCAAAGAATGCACTTCTACATCTGAAATTGGGGTATTTATTTATTTAAATTGATTGTTTTATTTGGAAGATTTTTAATATGCCACATAGTTTTCATATATTAAATCTTAGTAATGTATTTGTAATGTATTGTTTTAATGCATTTCCCCTGTGATCAAGTATAACTACAATTTACAGAGAATGAAGTATAGGTTCAATTATTTTGTCTGAGTTTTATGATTGAAAAATTAAATAACTTGGAAAAACTTACTATAAATGAGGAGCATTCACTGTGGAGATTTAGTAGCCCTATATGTAAACAGTGACTTCCTATTAAACAAAGGTTTTCAAAGTAGCATCACACAGATATTGCATAGATGTAAATGTACTTTTCCACTACTTTAGCCTCTATCCCTTGAGTTTTTGATTTAAACTCTATAAATCTCAGGCTGAACAATCAAAGATTAAAACAAAAACAAAACATCTGAAAAAACTGTACTGTATTTGGATTTTGTCAATAAAACACCAAAACACATATCAGTTAAAATCAATTAAAAATAACAGTAATAAACAAAGCCAAATCTATTGTCCATATTCCTTATTCCATTTGCTTTCTATGGGTGAATCTAGATTTTATATCCATAAAGTGCAATTTTTATTCTATTTCTTGTTTTAAAATGGAAAAATACCCACACACAAATGCATACAGACACATAAACACCAGTCAGCTTGCTACTTTTAATATTAGAGAAAAATACATAGTTTTAGAAATATGGATACACTAATTTACTGTCATGTGTTAATTCAGCCAAAAGGACATTATAATTTAATAATGTATTGTTTAAGAATCCTGATTTAGTATTAAATGTGAACTTGGCAATCCATGGATGAATAGAGAGAAATGTTAGGACATACTAGCCCTGATCTATTACATCCAAAGCAGTTAGAATTAAGTTCAGTTTCAAATATAGAATACTTAAATGGTGATAGAATTGTGCTTCTACAATGGAAAAATTCTTAGATGGGAAAATAAATAACTTTTAGAATAGAATAGAGCTGGAAGGGACCTTGGAGGTCTTCTAGTCCAGCCCCCTGCTGAAGCAAGAGAACCTATACTATTTCAGATTAAGTGGCTGTCTAGTCTCTTCTTAAAACTCTCCAGTGATGGGTGCCCATGATTTCTGCAGGCAAGCTATTCCACTGGTTAATTGTCCTCACCAAGGTAAGGTAGCATTAGGCTCTTAACTATTCCAATGATGGATTATAATGTAAGTCAGTTTAATTAAGGCAATATCTATTCTATATAACATAGATGAGAAGTTCAGCTTTCATACTAAACTTTCACCTATGGGACATTCTTCCATGTTTGCAAGATAAACATGGCAAGATATAGTTCAAATATCGAATGGCAAGATATAGTTCAGCCTAGTCACTTACTGAGGGACGGATCTCAAAACAGGTTACACATAACACAGACCGCAGATTTTCCAACTAATTAGACCTCACTAGTTCTCTCCTGGATCTCATTGTCTCCTGCAGAAATGAATGCCAAGTCATGGCTGCAGAAATCAATTTCAGCAAATGAACAGAAGTTAAAAGCAAATTAGTTCTTCTGTTTTACTCAGCACACTGACAATTTTGGTTTAATTCCTGAAAATAGAAAATATGCTGCCTGTAGACAGGAGTCGCTGGGAAGACATATGCCTAACCTCACACTACATTTTACTCTGACAGATTGATTTTCTAGGCACACAGAACTCAACAAAAACTGTGGTTAAGTTGTGGGAAATGGCATTTTAAAAAGCAAATGTGTATTCCCTTCCCCCCCCCCCCACAAATTTAAGAAGATTGCCACAATCTCTTTATGATTAGCAACTATAAAACTTACTTATTATATTTCTTACAGACCATGATTAATTTGAAATCAATATTACATTGCAACACAGTTCAGGCTCTATATCCAATGCAATTAGCCATCTCAAGGCAATCCTCAGTATGTTGCTTCTTGACCTAGTCCCAAGTACTTCTTCCCAACCCTATGTGTAAACAATATCTATTCCCCTAGTGAGCCACCATTTTAACCTACTCTCATTCTCAGTCTCCCTTACCAAATTCCTCATAATTTTCTTCCTATAAATTAAATTCATATTCCTTACATTTAGTCCAATTTCAGATTGAGGTTCTCAACTATTATAAGCTGTATGCATCTCACACCTTTCCAAGTGCAGGACATGATTCTCACAACAATAGACATAGACAGGGGTGGGATTCTAATTTTTTGACAACTGGTTCTGTAGGTGTGGCTTGGTTGGCATGACTAGGTGGTCATGTGACTAGGTGGGTCAAAAGAGAGAAATTCACTTTAACAATGCTCTTGGAGCAGGGGGTTGAACTAGATCAGTGGTTGCCAACTAGTGGGCCGGGGACCACTGGTGGTCCATGAGAAAATTTTGGTGGTCCGCAGAGAAATGTCATAAAGCACCCCCCAAAGCAAATCTAGGCTGTGCAGGAACACAAGACTGCGCACCCACATGGCCTGCAGGAACGCTTGCGTCGCTTGCATTGTGGACAACACAAGATAGTGAGGGAGTGGGGAAAGGGCAGTGGGGCCTTTAAAATCTCTGTTTGTTCCACATCTTCTAAGCACTGGTATACATCTGAACCTTTCAGCATTGTTCTTAGGTTTGCCTGGTGCCCCTCCTGGTGTGCACCCTTCCTTCAAAAAACTTTCTTGCTGTTGTAAGGATCACTGCCTTCAATGCAGTGTTTTCAACCATACTTCTAGTTCAGAGGTACAAAATATAAATACACACCTGCATTGCCTATTGCCTTGAAACGAAATTCCACTACTTAAAAACCAGCCAGGTTACATTCATTGTTGCCTCTTCTTTTAACGTACTTTTTAGTAGTTCAAGCAACAGCTTCTTATTATATTTACAGTGGACATTTCCTTTGCATTTTTAGTTGACCGTAGTTCAACATGTTGCAGACTTTCATGATAGTTATTTTAAAGAAGCCAACTCCAGAAAATAGGTTTTGGACTTATGTTATTTTAAATAATAACCATTACTCTAATGTTAAGCATAGTTTAACTTTTCAGGCAGCAGTCTTTAAAGGAAAAAAAATTCAAAATTATAATACCTAAAAATATAGGAGTAGAAATAACACAGCCACACCCAACCCATTTAATTGTACTTGATCAATCTTAACAGATGAACACAGCCAAAAAAAAACCTTCAACCCAAGTAATAGTAATACTATTGCTAAATGTGCAGATGATACAACAGTGGTGGGACTTATCTCTAGGGCGGGGGGATGAGTCTGCCTACCGAGATGAGGTGGACCGGTTGCTTTCGTGGTGTGGAGACAACAACTTGGTCCTCAACACCAATAAGACCAAGGAGCTTATAGTGGATTATAGAAGGAACAGACCAGACATCCAGCCCTTGCTTATCAATGGAGACTGAGTGCAGCAAGTGGCCAGTTTTAAGTTTCTGGGTGTTACCCTAAAAGAGGACCTGACCTGGGGTGGCCACATTGCAGCCCTGGTCAAAAGGGCCCAGCAGAGATTATACTACCTGAGGCTTCTCAGAAAACAACAACTGAATGAGAAACTGCTGGTGACCTTCTCCCGCTGCAACAGAGAGTATCTTAACTTACTGCACCTCTGTATGGTTTTGCCAATTGCACAGTGGCAGATAGGAAAGCACTCCAGAGGGTTAATGTCATTGCCCAGAAGATCATTGGTTGCCCTCTCCCCTCTTTGGAAGAGCTTTATAGCTCCCGCTGCCTTAAGTAAGTTCAAAACATTCTCAAAGATCCATCTCATCCTGGGAACCCTTTTTTTGAACTATTACCATCTGGCAGACAGTACAGAATAATAAAAACAAGGACAAATAGGCTGAAAAACAGCTTCTATCCAAGAGCAGTAGCTCGTTTGAATTCTGCCGTATAGTGCAGTGTTGGTGTGGTGTCAGGGGTTTTCGGTTCAATGTGTGAATGGTGAAGCATGTGTGTTTGTGTTTATTTTCATGGTCATGATGTACACTGAAGATGGTGTTTGATTTCGTTGTACAAGGTACAATGACAATAAAGTAAACTAAACTAAACTATCTTAACAGACTTCCAAGTAGGGTCCTTTATCCACTTATTTTGTCTGTATGCTTTGATGATACTGTTCTATTTCCTATATTGAACATTAGCAATTGAGAGTTTACTCACCTCACTGTTGTGGCCTCTTAAATTGAAGTTGATTCGCTGGGGTGTGTTTCTGTCCTTTCTACAGTGGCTGGACGTGAAGGTAACACCCACTACTCCCCTGCCATTTCCTGTGGCCAACCAACCTTCCTCGTAATATCGCCTCCGGCATACAGGTTTCTCCTTTTCACTTTTTGGAACCCTGCCTTTCCATGAGAGACAGAGGATGTTGGAATCGCTAAAGAGAACAGGCCCATGTTCCACTGCTGCGTACATGCTTTGTTGTATGTTTCCCTTTTGACATAAGAAAAGTACTATGTCTAGTGCAGCAAGTATAAATAAATCTCTTTGTGGTTGTAATTTCTATTGAGAGGACCAAAAGTTTTAAGACAGATCCGAATCGAGAGGGGCTGAAGCAGAAGAGAAGATCAGTTTTTATAAATATCCACCCAATGCATAGTGAAAAATTTCCTTATAAAAGATGATGATGGTTGGCTAAGAAAATGTAACACTTAAAAAAATGAAAATCAGTCAGATTCATCTTGATTTGGAGTCAGTGGAGTGAGGGGTACACTTATCCTTTGGAGAAACAGCTACTGCAGAAGAGGCGCTCCGAGAATTGGCGTGTCGTCTTTTTGCTCAGTTGGACAGAACCACCATGCGGCCTGAGATTTCCAGCACAGCATTACGCAATTCCAGAGACAAAAATTTGCAGAAGTGAAGGTTTTCAAGTAACTTAAGGCTTTAAAAATATTTCCTCCAGTCGGACTTGCAAACCCAGAGTGTATTCATTTATCTTTCCCCAAATTCACCCTCTGGCATGTTATTCCCACCAGACCAAAGTATCTGCTGCTAAAGCTGAGAAAGATTGCATAAAGGGGAGAAAAAAGGCACACAGACTGTGCAAGACCATAAGCCAGAATTCGGCGTAGTTAGCAGCGTGCCAGGCCAGATGGAAAAAAAGCCCTTTCTAAACTCAGCTGCTCACTGTTCCACCCAGACCATTTGCAATCCAAAGGAAGTCCCATTTCTTTGGCAGCCGGTGGCATTCTTGCCGCTTCCACAGGTGACCCAATTTATTGCGCTGCCTTGCCTGCTTCCTCACAAATTGTTGCCGCGCAGAGGCGTAAAAGCAAAAGTGTCTTTTCATTTAGCAAGTGGTTTTCTTTTAAAACTTTTTCAAACCTTTCTAAGGGTTTTAAAGCAAGAAAGTTCACCTGGGTGACTAATGAAGCCTTCTCCAAAATAATGGGCTGTTGACTTTCCCCTTTTGCTGGAAAGTCTATATCTTCAATGCTAAAACATGAATCAGAATTAAAAGCAGGTATTATTTTACAGTATTTTATTTACTGAACAAGTGTGTTGGAAAAAGAAAAGAAAGGCAAAATGGCCAATTCGGAATAAGTGTCGGGCTAATTTTAAAAAACACCCAATTTTTCTTTTGTTGTGCTGTTGCCCACGTTGCTTCCTTGGCTCTTCAACAGGCTCCTTCCTTACTGGGCTACTTTAGAGCTCAAATGCATAATTCTAACCAATACATTTGTGGCAGTGGAGTGTATTTTTAAAGTGTTCCAAAAGCTTTGAGTAATATTGATGATCAAATATTTATTTTTATTTGTACCATGTCAACAAGGAACAGAGAAGGAAAAATAGCAAGCTCCATTGTCAAATTTAATGCAAGCGTGAAAACCGAAGGTCAACTCGAGAGCATTCCCATTACCCCTTAGCTTGTTCTTCTTTAATCATTACTGTAAAATTATTTGTCACTCCTTAATTAGCAAATGTATTAAATCCAAGTGACTCCAATTCTAATACAGCAAAAGATGTGATAATTTCACATAATTCCTCCTTTGGGAATGACAATATCACTCTATTTCCTGCTCAAATTTTATCACTTTCTTAAATGTTTTGGTGCCATTTACTCTGTTCAGAGGCTGTTTAGCTGTGTTTGCTTTTTGCAATTTTTTTTCTTCACTCGTTGCAGATCATTTGGGAGGCTGACCACAAGCAGCAGATCGTACTTCATGGATTTTTGGTCCTCATATGCTATCAGGTTGCTATGCTGATGCTTGCAATAACTTTCATAAATTGCAAAAATGTTGAAGTTTGCAACAACCGATTTGAATGGCTGCAACAATATGTTTGTGGGTGTGTATAAGGACCCACAAACAGACACATATGCTATTATAATCACACCTTCAATTTGGCAATTGGACTATATCTATCTTCACCATTTAACTATGGCAGTTGTCATGGCTCACTCAAAGTCAGAATTCTCTGGATGCTTTCAATTCTGTAAAATAAAATAAAAATAAAAATTACATGGCTGTCAAAATATCAGGGGAGAATGCCAATTTAGTAAGTGCTTGATGAGTCATATTCACAGGTACGGTCCAAATTTATGGTTTTTGTGAATCCAAATATTTTATATTGATTTCAAAAAAATGGCAAAACATGAAAAAAGAGAGCATAAATTTGTTTCTTGGGATAAAGAAAAATGGACAGAGTATGATTAAGTAGTGAAAGGAGTGAAATATAACCACCTTTAAGATAATTTTTAGGCAAAAGACATACATTTGAGAAGGTCAAAAGTCCCTGTTTTTGCCTTTTCTCCCAACCCTTCCAAAATACATTTGAGGAATTGCTGACACAAAAATCATCATTAGTTCCCCAAATATTAAAAGCATTTTCATTTTATTTGAATTTAAATATAATACTGGAAAATCGAGTAAGCTATTCTTTAGATACAATATTAATAGCTTCCACTACTCAATTTTTATTACAGCAAATACATTTGCTGAAATGTGCTTGGCATTAGAAGATAATAATATCCTTTTATATTTAATTCATCAGAAGGAATAAGATGGGTTAATAAACATGGAATGGGGGAAGATAATAGGGAAAGAAAAAAGGAAAGGAAGAGTTTATTTTCAAAAGTGGAAAAAAAACATTTTATCAATTGTTGTGCTGATCCAAGAAAATGCACACACACACACACACACACACACACACACACACAAAGTAACCTCTGGAGTATTCCATGTAAATCCAAAATTCTATCAATAGAGAATTTGTATTTTTTAGCAGCAACTGTTGCATAAAATAAAAACTCTCTTTTGATTGCTTTAAAACAAGAACTTCTGTGCTGTTCCAGAACTACCAGTATGTACTTTTCCCAAAATGCAGTACAAATAATTATACTGTAGCAAGATGAGGTTAAAAAAGTTATTTTCTACTTGAAAGCAGATTCTCATCTAGATACTCAGAAGCTTCCTGCCTAATTAAGACACCTCAAAGCAAGCACAAATATATAAAAAGGGCAAACATATAATTAAACAATAGGCTGTTGGTTTTGTCAAGACATTGCTGGTACGGTATGGGTCCTATGTGAACTAGACATGCTGTACAAAACCAGGGACAAGCTGGAAGAGGAACCTGCAGATGAAGACCTACAGAAGCAAGCAGGATCTGAAAGAGAGGTCCGCAGAACAGATAGAAAAGACAGCACAATTTAGAAAAGGCAGACCAAATCTTAGCCATAGCACTTTTATACCGCTTCACAGTGCTTTACAGCAGTGGCCCCCAACCTTTTTTGTGCCACGGCCTGGTACCGGCATCACAAAATGATCCGTGGCCCGGTACCGGCATCAGCACGCATGGCAAGGTGAGCTGAGCGACCGGCCAGCCAGCCGTCCCCCGCTTCTCCCCGCCACCTTCAACTCCTCCTTTGTACCTTTGTCATGGGCTTCGGGACGGCTTCGGGACGGTCGCTCGGCTCGCCTTGCCTTGGGTGCTGAAAGAATCCTCGCGCCTTAGTTTTGTTCGAAGCCGCCCCCACCCTTCGATGAAACTAAGGCGCGAGGATTCCTTCAGGACCCAAACGCCGCTTTCCAACCAGAAAAGCTCACTGGAAGCACTTTCTCATCAAAACAAGATGGCGGCACCCAGCAAACCGGCGGCCCGGTAGAAAATGTTCCACGGACCGGGACCGGTCCGGGGCCCGGTGGTTGGGGACCCCTGCTTTACAGCCTTCTCTAAACGGTTTATAGAGTCAACTTATTGCCCCAACAATCTGGGTTAGTCAGGACAGCTTGACAGAGTACTACAATTACAAGAAGTTTTACGTTTCCCCATTTCTTTTCTTCTCCTTATGCTAAAGGCAAGCCCACAATACCAAAGTATTGAAGCTGTATCAAAGTTGTGATAAGGAACACTAGTGTGAATCAGGAAAATGGGGGAGCAAGACAGCTAAGCAACTGTAAAAAAGCTTGATGTAGAGATGTCTGTATAGTTTGCTAAGCTAAGGCCATTGTATATATTAGAAATAAACACAAATTATTTGCCTAAAAGTACTTTACCAAATAAACATCCCTCTAATTTAGAGAAAGAGTACAAGTCTGGAAAACCCGTCCCTTATGCCAACACATTCATGTGCACCTAGCAGATTAACAGTGCAAGAAACTGTGATCACTCCAATAAAGTGAGAAAGAAACAGCCTGAGGTAAGACTGATCCACTGCAATAATTATGTTCAGTGCTCTCACCACCCAAAGTATTGGTCCTTGCACCTACTATAAATATGGTTTTCATTTTACAGCAATAACATTTTTATGGGGAAGGAGCAAATTCAAGTATCAGATTCAGACCATTCCTACTTTTTTGAATTAGCCAGCAGCTAATTCCTTGCTCCTGTACCAAAACCAAGTGGCACAGCACCAGAACCAGATGACAGATGGACCAATTAAACCAGGTGGTAAACAACCTATCTCAGCTGATTGGTTACAACCAGCTCTGACTGTCACACCAAAGTCCATCTGGAAATGTAACAACAGTGGTGGCAAAAGCAACTCCAATCACCAATTTCTGACACACACACCCTCCATTCTTTGCCTGACAAGTATGATGAGGTTTATGACCTTCATAATTCAACACAAATTATATCTTCTGGGGACTCCCAACCCAGAAAACAGAGACTGGAATACTTCATCATTGGATTTTTCAGACAGAGGCAGATCCTAACAGTTTCAGAAGAAATTCATGTGCCCTGCCTTCTACAATAATTCCATTTGTTGTACCCCACTTTTGCTTTCTTAATAAGTTTTAGCTGGATTCAGAAATATAGTATTAATCCTTAGTCCTGAAATAGGAGTGTATATATCTCATTGTTCAGCCAACTTTTATTTTGCCTTAACTCTTTCTGTCACCGGCTGTTATACAGCAGCTCCCAAATTCTTATTTACTGATATTTTATATTTCCCCAGGCAGTTTGCAGGATTGCCAAGTTTATATGCTGCCAAACTTGCACATCAATAAGTCTGACTCTATTAAAATAACAATGTTACTTGGAGTTGCCCTTTTGAAACACTATAATCAGGTATGCGTAGGTACTACTTTTGGAAGGATGCCCACTTCCTTACTAAGAATTTTAATATACCTCTTTTGGTATTGCACTATAAAGGTAAAACGTTATATGCTGTAGATTCATAAAATAATTATTCTAGTACATAAAGCAACAGTAAAGTTACCTAAAACTTGAAGGCAGCTAATAACATAAAATGGCACATGGCAATGTAACTACTATACAGACATTCTAAGTGGGTTTACGAAGATTTAAGACAAGTTTTAAGGCAGTTGCAGTATAAGGCTTTCTAGGTGCCTTATACTGCAACTCCCTTAAATCTCAGCCATGCGGCCCTTGGACTTTATGTGAATCAAAGTAAAACCTTGGCTGAATTATACTAGTACTTCCCACTGTTAGTATATTCTCTCCAAAAGCTAAGGAAAAAATCCACACAAATAGTAAGATCCCAGTGATAGCCAGGAGAGAATGTATGTGATGCTAATGTTAACTACTTTCATGTATTGTGTCGTATTCCATGCTCAGTTACATACAAATGCAAACTAGAAATTACCTTCAAGTTAAACTAGAGTTAAACATTCACAACAATATGCAGGTATCTTATTATTAATTTCTCAAATGGCAATTCTTTCTTAAGAACATCTGGCCATTTATTCAAGACATTATTGAGTGTTTGCACTAGAGATGTCATTTGTTAATAATTTGTTATAGACACACATAAATTATTGAGAGCTGAGCTGCAAACAAGTTTAATAAATTGTTATAAATTCGCATTATTAAAAGTTCAAGGATGCAAATACCACTACCCTTAAATAGTATACAATATTGGATGAATATATAATAGCGTTCAAGGTTGCAATTCTAGAGCCACACATTCTACGGGATTTACCTCGCACTCTATGGGATTTATCTCAGAATAGATATGTATAAAATTATGTCGTTAGAAAATAAATGCTGGTTTAATTGAAGAAACTATTTTCCACATTTCAGGAGTAGCAGAAGTGGTTGCTGCTTATCCTCAGCTGAATTAAAGAAAAACAGCCAAAGGCAGACCGATAAAAAGCTGGACAAAAAATCCAGTGTTTTTCCATTTTGGAAATAATGGATTATATTGCAAAGCTGAATTGAGTTTTAATGCTGTTTTTATTATGGTAGTCTGATTGTTGGTTTTATTTATATTTTTATTGTTCTGTGAGCTGCCCAGAATCACAAACATGGGTAGCTGTACAAATGGAATCAATGAAGAGAGAGACAGAGAGAGAGAGAGAAAAGTCCATAAGTGTTCAGAGTGATTCAAAAACTGTAAGACCTTTATAGCTTTCATAAAATTTATATCTTGGGTGGTGTTTTCTGCATTATCATATTGATCTTACAAGGTCCTTATGTGGCTATTGGACCAATATCAGTTTATCCCTCACCGAAAATACTTTGAGGAATCATCTGTAGGTTTTTGGTTTACTGCTATCATTATATTGATTACATCCAACATACATATTCTTTCACACGCTCTTTTCATTTTTAATCCAAGGAAAAGTATTAGTTCCAAACCAACATCATACAATCAGCAGTAGGTTCTCCTAATCAGTTAGAAAGCAGATCCAAAAATCAGGATTTAATTTTTCCACACTTCACTTAAGTATTCCACTCTTGGTGTAGAAGCCAAGGTTTCAGCAGTGGCCTGGTAAATTTAATACACCAACTGCATCCATTCTGTGAAGTTCAGAACAAGCCATAATGGTACATGTTCTATTGGTATACTATACATGCTCTATACAGCACAGCATTTGAAAATGTTTAGAAACCTCAGTAATCCAGTTGCAGTTACATTATTGACCAATGTCAGTTCTAGAGCTAATCCTTCTGCTTTAGTGGGTGCAGTTCCAGGTGTTCCAGATTTGACTTATGGTTACTGTCTCAAACACTCACAGCCCTGGA